AGGCTCGGAAGGTGTTATTCGTAATCAGCTCGTTAAGCTGAATCTGAATATGTATAATAATGCCAGAAACAAATTCCACTGAAATTTTGCATTATCTGCACCTTAGATAAAATGTTCTTTCAAGTACATCAATCGACTTCAAACATGGCGACCATCTATTAAGAGATTCTCCAGTTATAGGAAAATTTACGCTTTTCCCAAATGCTTTCCTATACTGAAGAGTGAACGGCTCCTTTGGAAAAACAGGTCACGTTTGGCGCGCCCTATGGTACCAAGCCTCCATTTTTATATCATACATCAGTCTTGATTATCAAATAACTGGTTAAGAATTTGAGCTTTTGTAATTACTTCCTGCGATAGAAATTTGAAAAATACAAGGAATTGTTTCATCCCCATTTTGGCTTCTTCAAAAGTTTTTCAGAAGCACTTGAATTTCTAAAGATCAATGTAGAAAATACGTTGTAGTTTTTGGAACAGCAGCAAGAACGGCTGCCAAAACCTATAAACAGCTTATTCATGCTAATCGAATCGTGTGCCTGAGATATTAGTTAGTGGCTTTGGGTATTTATTAAAGCACTAAAACCGATACAATTAAGAATGTAACATGAGAAAATTACGTTGTTTAGGGCACATGAGATGGCTGTACGTGCGACCGACTATAACGCCTATGAGGTAACGTATGCAGCCTCTGGTCTGTGACTTGAATCGACACAGCAGATGATATGACGTTCAGAAAGTTACGTCGCACTGATATGCTGCCAATAGGCGCTTCGTAGGTGAAAATATTTTGTCCGTGAGTGATCAGTGAATGCATGAAAGAATGAATATGAATATGCTTGTTCTTAATTCTGATCGCTTGTGGCTTTCTGATGATTATGCTGGTTCATTACACGTGAATGTATCTATTGCGTGGTGTAATAATCACATTGAATTGAAAAACACAAGGAAGTGGCTGGGGGCGATGTGCTGTGTCAGATCTGTCACAGGAAAGACTAAATCATAAGAAATAATGAAAGTTGTTGTCACGTTAAAATTCGATCTGTGCGCGCTATCGACAAAGACTATTTGAGCGCACAAGATTTCTCATTCATGAACCTATGTTAGTGTTTAAACATTAACTTTTATTTATGCCTGTCGAATCGTGTGCCTGAGATATTAGTTAATGGCTTTGAGCATTTATTAAAGCACTAAAGCCGATACAACTAAGGATGTAACATGAGAAAACTACGTTGCTCACGCACTAGATAGATTTTTGGGCAACGGCTCTGGGATTTTGAATATAACAGGTTTCGAGGCCTACAAAAGACCTGTATTAGGGTACATGGACTCGTGCATAAGTTGTCTAACGTTTTCAATTTGAAAATGATAAGTAAAAATTCGTAGATCCTCTTAACAAAAAAATCCAGAGCTTTTTCTCAAAACGGAGACTTTTGGCACTTTTTGGGTATTCGCAATGTTTCCGATTTTTCTCAATGAAGAAAGGGTTTGTCGATGCTAAAAAGGTGATATTCGTAACCAGTGTCGTCTGGCGATTCAGAATATGTATAATATATCCAAAAATAAATTTCACTTTAAGTTTGCATTACGTACATCTTACTAAAGTCATATTTTTCGAAAAAACCGTCTATTGCAGTTTTCTTAACCCGAACAATAGAATAAACATTGTCACAGTAATCAGCGCGTTCGATAGCCCATGTACCATGGGTTTTTGAGGTTCCTAGAGCTCAGCGTTGGCCGATAGGTACGTCCTCGGAGATTCCCTGTAGTATCCGAACCATGGTAGATGGAAGTGTGGGACTTGCGCCACGTTGTAGAGCGACATCTTCTCTATACTGGCATGCATTTAATGCAATAATTCTCTATGTGTATTTCTGGAATGACAGGTTCGGACTTTTTTACTTCGAAAAGTGCACCGTGGTAGCCCTATCCGAGAAGACTCCTTTTGCCATAGGATTATGCCCTCGGTCGTGCTCTTTCATAATCTGAAAATCGCTGCTCTCTAGCTCATTCCGTTCTTATTATTAGTTATTCGAAAAAATATCCGAGTCCACTAAATTTTTGGACGGACAATAGTATTAACGTTAATAGTAAGTTCATATTTATAGTTCATTAGTGATAAATAGATAATGATTCATCATCAGCTGACTTTGAAGGCTCTGTATATGTGTGTGGATGAACGATATCATCCCTATCATTAATCATTTAAAGAAAACTAGACAATATAGAGTAATATGTTATCATAATACAAAAAAAGTAAATCTTTTGTTTCTTTACAAGCAATTTCTTGATGAGATATGGGTAGGGGGGGGGGGGACACAAAACCGGGTTTTAGGTGGGGGGGTGGTGGCGCCCCCCCCCCCCCCCCGTTTTAGGGGGGCCCCCCCGGGGCCCCAAAAGAGTGGTGGTGTTTTGGGGG